GTGGCGCTGCATCGTACTCCTAGTGTGAACCAAATAGGGCAGGATGGCCAGCGGTGCCCGCACTTTGTTTCGCAGCTCGCAGTTGGTGAGGTCTCGCAGTGGAGGCTGTGTGACTGGTCCGTGCCAGAGAATCAGTTCGGTGTACCTCACGGCCCCGAAGTTAACCGCTGAGATGGCGAAGACCCTGGGCTGAAGTAAACGCTCGGTTTGCTACTCACGTGCGGCGCGACGATCGGAACCGTCTGTTCGCGGACCATGCGGTTCTCATCCCGCACCATATCCAGCAGCAGCTGTTTCGAACGGAACCAGTACCCGTTACGCTGGAGGACTGGCTGCACCTTGGCCGATGTGTGCTGTCGCAGGTGGCGGAGCAAAGCGATTCTCCGGAACAAGTTGCGTAAGCCAAGGTCGCAGCCGCTGTGGTCGCAAGGTCGCTGCCGGATGGCGAACCATACCGATACATAGTGGCCGACCACGAACTGGACGAGGTCCTTGAGAGCGCTGCTGGAGGTCTCAGTAGAGATGTGAACTGGGAGCAGACGAGCAGCCAGTGTCAACCATCTCGAAACAGAAGCGAGTGTATTAGAACAATTCGCTGCGAACTTATCATTAGATCATACAACAATTATTGCGCCTCTATAGTGTATGTAATTATGCCCATGTCTAGAATCCTTAAATGTGATGGAATGAATATCAACAAATATGCTACTAAGCGTGAACTAACCATCAAATCATGCGACATGCTACGGCACAAGGTATGACAATAAGTAAGTGCTCAAGAGTGAGCACATGAAATATCAATGCACACTTTAAACACACTTTATCTTATCTTAAACACACTTATTAAGCACACTTTATCAATGCACAACTTTAAACACTCATTGCGATAAATTCGAAGACAATACGTTTTCATATTTACCTGACATGGTTCGATGGTCCGATTCGCCGCTGGGCTGCCACGTTTCGGACAGAGTCGTTTTGAACGCCGGAGGCCATAAGGTACAACAGCTGCTGGTTGGTGCTCAGCTGTTGAATCAGGTCGACCGGCAGGTTTGGTACGTGCCCCGACCTAAGCTTGAATGCCAGAATGTCCCTCTCCGAGGCCTCTCCCGCACAGGTTTTGCCGATAGGTCCAGACAAAATTTTGATCCCGTGGTCGTACCGTCCAAGCTCGGCAGCAGATGGTAGATGCTCAGCTCGTTGACGTGCAGCTGGCAGATGAACCAGTATACGGGTGACTCGCTGACCAGCTCAAACAGCCGGAACACGTCGCCTAACGTGTCGGTGTTGACGGCTGTGCCATCGAAGCCGAGCACATTGATGTGACCGTCGCACTGCGGTCTCATTGCGCTGCGGGATCGTTGAACATGTGCAGGGCGCGGCCGAACTCGGACGTAAAATGAGTCACGTAGCAGCTGCCTGGCTCAGTGATGACAACCACGTGTTTTCGACGGCATTCGTCTGGCTCCGTGTGGCTCATGTAGCTCCTGCCTTCGCGTCCACCGGAGTAGAAGATGGTCAAACCTGACTCGTGGATTGCTTCGAAATTTTAACGAGCCGTCTCATTTTTCGTTCTGTTTTTTGCGCAGCAGATCTTAGGATCTACGATATTTGATTTCAAGTAACTAGTCCGTCTCTGCTGTCTTGTTGTAAGGCGTTGATGATAGCAGCAGCGGCCCGGTTTGAGCCACCGTAGCTGCCAACCGCCAGAGCGGTGTTAGTCTGATCGTTGATGTTACTACGTACAGTGACAGTGGTCTCAACCGGAACGAACACTCAGCGTCGTCGCCACCTTCTACCATGCATGGAACCGTTTAAGAATCCGTGTTCTCGGCTGACTCGCCAGCGCATAGACCACTTTGCCCTGGAGCAGGCTCGGGGTCAGTACTAGCAGCCAGAGCTGGCACAGCAGGCGGCGTCGGTTCAGCAGGCGGCGGGGAGGGCGATCCAGGTTCAGCAGCAGACACCGCCTCACTGGCGGCCGAGCCACGCCCCTGGAGTTGCCTGACCATCCTCCGCATCTCGCGAGCCTCCCCAGCCACAACCGCATCCCGGTCATATGACCCAGGGTAAGCTTCCGGTGTTTGCACTGGTCCTTCATGGCAACCTCCTGATACACTGTGCGGGCAGCTGGGCATGGAAAGCTGCACTGAGGCTTGCACTTGCATTTCGCGGCATCAAGAAGCTTGTTGAGTTTCGCGCCGGCGGCGTTGCTGTGTCGCTCTCTTTCTTTGATATCTTGCTGATAGCTCTGTTGGGATGATATCAATCCTTCTCGATCAGTTTTGTCACGTATTTTAGACAATGAACATTGATCGCTTTGTTGGTCCACAGTACCCTAATTTCTACCGTCGCGGTCTTGAAGATTGTGTTAGTGAGATTCCTCTTCGATTCGCTCAGCCACCTGATGCAGCTCAATGCTTTCCTGCAGTTGGCAGTTGATGGTGGGGCGGTTGAGCCGGGTGGCCTGTCACAAAATGTTTGGTGCGCGACCGTGTAGCCTTCGGCATGCTTATGCAAGTAATTGTTCGAAATAAATGTTTTAATACCGGCAAAACCAAAGTAGTAAACCCATATCTCCCACGCAAAAAGCACATAAATTACAAATCAACATCACAAAGATGCGTTTGCAGTAACGAACTTGGACCTAGCCCGGTCTGCTGAAGATTTTTATGACTGCACATCTTTGGGTTTACCAAAAATTAATGTTCTTTACTAAAAAGTCAGCTTAAAAGCTGTTTGGCTACCTTTTGCTGATGCTTATCATTATATCTATTTCATCCTAAATCCGCTAAGTACCAGCAGTGTGGAAAGTGGTAGCTTTGAGTTTTGTTGGAGGATGATCCCGGTACGTAAAGTAGGTGGCGCTAGTATCGAATACGGCTTTCTTGGCCTATCAAAGAAAAACTGCTTCCACCTCACGAATATCAACATTGGTGCGGTGCGATAGATCTCAAAGTTTATCATCAATCCGTATGCCAAGGAAAAACTTTGTTTCAGCTGATTCCAAGAGATTCACCCCTCGATGACACACCCTAATACTCATGCCCTAATGGCTGACAAGCCTTACCTTCATGTGGTAGAGACTGCTCCGTTTATTCGGTGATCCTACACACGTTGTGATGCATTTGATGTTGCTGAGTTTGGGTGGAACTGGTTTCCGTCAGTGGTGACTGCGAAATGTTTAGACCAGACCCACTTCAGGATAAGTTTTGAGAACGCCCTTTGTGACGTCAGCAGGCCCCGGAGTGACGTCAGCAGGCCCTTGGTATGTGCCGATATCATCGCCGTTTATGAGTGCTGTATGTTTAAATTCATATTGAAGCCAACGTCAATTAATACACGTGTAGCCCACCGTTGCATTTCGCTCTGCCGGATCGTGCGTGGTATTTTAGTTACGGCGTATCACGCGTGGAAGAACGCCAAGACGGCCGTGGCTTGGCGATGGCGGAGGCGGCAAAACGATCGGAAGTTGGCGGCTGTAATGCCAGCTGATGCGGAGGTGCGCTGGTTAACCTGAAGAGACAATCCTGCATGGTCAGTGGTTGACCTGAAGAGACAAACCTGGATGCTGTTGAACGCCTTAGGCGTAAAGCTCTCCACTAAGCTGCAGCCAGCGAAACGACAGCCTCGCTGGCTTTGACCTACTTTACGTACTAGCCAGACATCAGAAAGGTTTTACAGGGAAAGCGTCACGTTCTGGAAAATTCAGAAATACTTAAAGGTTTTCCCAAAGGAATGGTGGTTTTCCGCCGTGGTATCAACCTCGCAGATGATTTAATTCACAGAATAAAAAAAAACATGGCGGACGATCTACGGAGATCGATGGGGCTGGGAGTGTTTTTTATGCATAAATATATATATATATATATATATATATATATATATATATATATATATTCCCAACCTCGGTTGGCGCATTTCTTACCAAGCACCAACCGCAAACGTTTCCGTACATATAGCCGGCGGCATGGTGCATGACATTGCTAGCTATCTCAGCCCGGCAGCCAATGTAATGCTGCCATGGGATAGAAATATATGCCTTGTAGGTATTTGTGCATAAACGCGATGGCGTGACTAGAACATATACTTAAAATTGCTCGCACTATATTGCTTCGGGATTTATAACTATCACAAAGTTGTAGTGTTTGTGTCATTGTCTCTCTATTGACCAACTGAAACCACCAGTCCCAGGCATAGCATGACTCATATATATTCCAAAAGTCGTATGACAATGACGTGACACGAGGATTTTCAGCACGCACTTTAAAGTCTTACAAAGTAGCGCAAAACACGAGAAAACAGGTGATTAAGTCGTGCATCACTGACAAAGATTGAAATAATGTGCTTGGAGCCAGGAGCCAAGCTTTTACGTTTCACAAAGCCGCTTCGACCCGTCTCACAGCACATATCCAGATTCTAAGGGTGAGCCGCAATATGCTGTATTAATGAAAAACAGCACATATCCAGATTCTAAGGGTGAGCCGCAATATGCTGTATTCATGGAAAACAGCACATATCCAGGTTCTAAGAGTGCGCCGTAGTATGCTGTATTAATGGAAAACAAAAACAAACAATACTATAATTATTGATACAAGGTACAAATTATTTGAAACGTAACATCGTGTATCTACTGAAACAATCGGTTTGTGGTGTTGACTACATAGCTGCAGAATTCAACAGAGTTCACGTTATATTTGAAAGGGCAAAAAAGACCGCAAAGTGAGCGAATTGTCCTTGAGTTTCTGATAGTAAGCGCACATGCCACCATATGGTCGGGCCAGAGGGCTCTCATTGGGGGAAAATTAGCACGTTCTTGGTACACAGAGGGCGTTAGACAAAGCTATGACGTAGAGAGCATCGCTTCGGTCGAGTGTTACAGTGAATGCAGCGCCAGGCCCAAGCGGCTACGCCAAGGTTGCTGTCCGGCGCTGCGTCACCGCCCGGCTCGAGCGCGAGCGCCCGTCACTGCTGCTGCTGAAGGGCGCCCCCCTCCGCAGGAATTCCGGCCGAGTTGTACGTGCTCTGGCAACAGTACCCATGGACTCTGGGCGACATCGTCTGCCACCTGAAAGGCCTGATCGCCGAGACGACGGCCAACGCCTCCATCCTCACCATCGTAGCGTTCACGGCCGAACGCTTTCTCGCCATCTGCTACCCGATGCGCACGACGTCGCGCTCCAAGCTGGTGCGTGCATCGCGCGTCATCAGCATGATCTGGCTCATCAGCATCATCACGGCCGTGCCGTCCACCATCTACCACGGGGTGAGTTCGCCACGTCCGCGACCGGCTTCACGTGCTGAGTGGCCTGGTGGACTCTTAATCCAGTCCGAGTGATGGCTTGGGTTTCCGAGTCTCATGTGGCTGCGAAGCAGTGAACCGGAACCTAATACTACGTGAACCGTGGCGGAAGGAGAGGCGAGATTCACTGAAAAATGGGCACCCTCAAGGACGTTTTGCAAAGAGTTGATCTTAAGCCAAAGTCAGTTTGTCAAACTGGTGACCCTGCAATGTTAGCTGCTGTAATTTTTTCACACATTATGCTCTATATAAGAAGGAAATACAAGCTGGTTTGGTTGCTTTCTGTGCAACCTTGAGCATTTCTCAGAATTAAAGATGGCGACCGCCATCATCAAGAATGCTGGCCAGTTTTCCTGTTTTGATTTGGATGACATAGATGACGGTGAAATATCTCTTCATGGGGATTATCATGGGTGACAAGTCATTTCCGGACCTACTTTGGGGCTACGCGGTCTAGTTCAAGGCCAAAGCATGGGTCAGATATCAAACTCAAGAGAGGACCTTTGACTATAACGTCACGACATCGAAAGGAACCCTGAGCGCAGTAATGCCAGCCAGTACTCGTCACATTCCTCTTCTATTTTTAATGGTCATCACTATGCACATCAAGCTTCTCTCGTTTTCTTTAATACCCACTTGCTTGCTGGCGCCACGGCTATAGCATGCGATTTCCGCCCACACTTGCAATAATCTGTACGCCAAACGCCCGCGCTGTGCTTGTTGCAGCCGTAGCGTGCAATGCTGCATGCCTGGCTTTCAGTGGCGCAGCTGCAGGTCACTACACCATTGGATCGCTTCAGGAGTAAGTGCTGCTGTTGAGACAGCTGGTAGAATGATATAAGCTTCTTGGCGCCAACCAAAGCTAGCAATGTTTCTAGCTTCTCTTCCTCCGGGGAGGGAGGGGCGAGGGGGGGGGGGCTAGGAGTGTAGTAGGCCAGTCGGGTTTACAAACTTTCCGCCAGGCCTTCTGCGGTCCCAGGAACTGGCCAGACGACGCGGTTCAGCAGCTAACCGATGTCAGCCAACACCTGATTTGCTGGCACTGTGATCTCACTGTCCGAGTGTCACCAGGCTTGCGCGCCCGGCTGTAGCTTCTCCCTGGCACGCTGGGAAAGGTGCTTCATCTGGCTCTCATGCCACCCAGTTAGCGAGCATAATTGTGTCGACCTGCCACCAAAAAATACGGCATTGCCTTCAGACAGTGCTGCTAAAGGAAAAAGTTGTCGTTCAGCCCTCACGCAGGCGCAGGAACGCCAACAGTGAAAGCTTAAAGAGCATTTCACTCACATGCTTCCGGTCAGGTGCGCTTTGGCTGTCTCCAGGTTGTTCCTCAGCTCCTGGCATGTCTTGGCGCCTTCCGAGCACAACCTCTGCAGTAGAACGGCGATAGGGAGGTATCCCTTGTGACTAACCTATCAGGCTGTGCAACTGCAATGCTACACAGGGATCCTCCGATGTTGACACCTCCCGACAAACGCTTTGTCCGCTGAAGAGTCACGGTTTCAGTCCAGCGCCGTCAAGCTCAGTCAGCAGCGAAACGCAACATGACTGTCGGAAGTCCATAGACTACACTGAAAACTGTCCGATTGGACCGATATAAATGCTCAGCAAGACCAACTGGCCTCAGACTCTGCCCTGACGTCACTGGTGGTGACACAGAAGACAGGTTATGGACTCTCAATGCTCTCGGTATCCAGCACACTCATGCCACAGCCGACCTCCACTCGTATCAGACGGCATGCCTAGCCTAACCCAGCGACCCTCAGCACCGGCCCAATCTCGTATATCACTCAGCATGTACTCGCACGAGCATAATGCACACTCATGAGGCACCGACATATTTCACATGGGCATGGCGGGTAGGCGATCTGTCGTAGGCGTAACTATGAGCGCAAAGTTCAGTGGCGGCAAAGCCAGCAGGACAAGCAGGAACGCCTGAAAAAACATTATACATGCGTCGTGCCTATAACGCATGTTCGTATTATTATGCTTTACAACACGTGCGGCTGATGCGAGTTGTACGTGAAGACAACAAACGACATAAATCGATCAATAAAGGAGATTCTGGTGACTCATGATCAAGTTTGACCCTTGACTTTCAATCTTAATATTACTTTGACTCCATCCATTACAAATGGCTGCGGAAATGGGCTCTCTGCCATAGGAGATCTCTAAAGACGGCATCACGCGGTCCTCAGAGTCCTCCAGACAAAATTAGTTGTAGTCGATACTGTAGCACTCGTATAGGACGTGTAAGGATGGCAACTCGACTTCGAAGTGTCACAGTCATCCTAGAAATAGCGCAGATCAAGGCAGTAAACAGCGCCTTTTTGTCTGTTTTCTACAGTTAAGCGACGTTAACTGTGCAAAGCCGTAGTACCATTCCTTTGATCCTGGCATTTCTGGAGTCAGTTTTTGCTCTTTAAAAGGCATCTGTCAGATATGCGGTACTTAATGATTTGGTACCATGGGACCAAGACATAAACATAAAATGACGACTTTTACACAATGACGAAACTTAAATGCTTTGAGCGACGTCCACCAATCACGTTGATATACCTGACGACAAACGGAGGGTTTCACCTCTGTTTATTCTAATTTTTTCCTGTATTTCGGTATTCGGTATATTATATTCCTGTATTTCGGTGCCTGTAAAATGCGGCGGACCTATCAGGATCGGACAGGTGGCTCCTGTGAGTGTCATGTATGCACGCTGCGCAGGTTCACCCCTTATTTAAGAAGTACGTTCAGCTGATTGGGGTCAGCGTTGTACCCCCCCCCCCCCCCCGAACACACCTACACCCACAACGTGCTTTTTAAGGGGCTAAAGGAAAGCTAAAATACCTCATGCTATTTTGGTACGCGGCAGGCTATTTTAGTTTTAGCATTTATTCGGTGAAAAACAGTGATTTCTTTGACTAGTATAATAGATACGGGCAAAGTCATACCCGGGTTCGCACGTTTATTCTGCCTCGCATTTTCTGGAACCTGTCGAATGAGGCAAGTCACATGTGTGGTATGCCCGAACTGTAATATTTTCGTGAGAGGCCCAAGCTGAAAGGTCACCAAATATCCACGTTACGACTCACCGCTACAGCTAGTCCCCAGATGACCCAGATGCACTGCCACTAGACGCCACCCAGCCGTACGACAGTTCATCACCACATCGAGGCATCATAACATCATATATCGAGCAAATCAGTGGGTGTGGAAGCGCTCGCCACCCCGCCCACCCCACTCGCTTCCGGCGCCCAGACTTCGGGGAGGGGGGGGGGGGTCCGGGTGCACGCTGACGCCATCGCCGGCTCACGCGACGCAGTCGGCGCCTATCGATTGTGCCATGTTGACGTGGCGGACTTGCTGTCGCCCTGGGCACGTCTCATATTGCTCGTAATGCCAGGGGTCGCTGGGCGGCCACCCACCGTGACGAGCGGCCTCAGCGCGTGACCGATCGGTCAAGGTTTGCGTGCGCGCGTGCGAGCCGCCGCGGATGCCGCGGCATCCATGCGGTGGCGTCGTGACCATTGTTAGAATTTGTTGACGCTTGTGCTTTCTGCACCAGTTTCATTCGCCAGCATACTTGGCATTCGCTACGGGCGTATCTTATTTCGGCCCACGGCCTTGGAGCTTCTACATTGTTTTGTTCCGGCATTGCGATGCCAGCAGCATTGCCTGCCATGTAAGGCGTCCATGGTAGGTTTTGGGAGGCGCTTTTTCAACACAATTTATACCTGACGGGTTGATTGGTCCGTCAGTGCAAACCCTAAAAGACTTCCAAAAAAATGTGTTGGGCAATGCTCATTGCACATGCAGTCCAAAACAACATAAACAAGCGCGTTACTGACGGTAGGCAATGTAGGAGAGGGATAAGATGACACGACACATTTGTGCTATGCCATCACATAACCGTAACAACCGTGATAACAGCCAAGCACGGCAAAATGATCCTGAAGCGTCTCGTCTCTTCACTTGGAAACTTAAGGTGATCCACGCAACAACCAAGTTATACCCACGGTCATCGCAGGCCGTGCTTTAATGGCGTCGCAAGCTTGATCGGTGATGTCGCTTTTGTCATCTACAGTGCCTTGTTACCCAGGTGATAAAGTGCAATGCCAGGTCACTGTCGGGAAGACGAAACTCCAGGAGTTCATACAGCGCCACTTCGCTGTGAATGGCACATGCTGAATCACTGGCGGGGTTTCGGCGGGCATTATTTCATTTGAGCAATTACCACAGATGGTTATGGTAACTTATATATATATATATATATATATATATATATATATATATATGAAGCCTCAGTTGAGTAGGTGCCTACTGAGCAATTACAGTTGGTTATGTCATCTTCTACACACACACACACACACACACACACACACACACACACGCACGCACGCACGCACGCACGCACGCACGCACGCACGCGCACGCGCACGCACACGCGCACGCGCACACGCACACGCACACGCATATATATATATATATATATATATATATATATATATATATATATATATATATAAAGCTTCAGGCTGCTCCACCGAACTCCTTGCGGCGTGCGACCTGTCATGATATGTTATATCACGCTATGAATTAAAAGGACAATTTCTACTCTTGACCTGGCGTGACCTCCCTTGACCTGAAGCACACAACACTCAGAAAACCCCGATCAATGGTTGCGTGCTCCAGCGACTTATTGTGCGCATTTACGACATGTAAACGCCTTAAAGCCTCTCAACTCCCCAACTTGCGGCAAGAGTGGTTTCAGACTTCCAGCACTTTCAGCGGCGTCTTCAATACAGAAAGTGCTGGACGCTCGGTGGCAGCCGGGAGAAGCCGATTCCACGACGCAGCAGCTCGGTATCAAAACCTGTGCCCGAGTGCCGGAGTTTGCACTTTGGCAGCTTGAGCACTTCTGTCTCGGAGCGGCGAGTGGCCCGGCGGGACGTTGCAGAGCGTGATGA